AGAAAAACCTGGAAAGACTTACATGAACTGATACAAAGTGAAGTGAGCAGAACCAGGAGAAGAGTGTACATAGTAATAGCAATATTGTATGATGATCAGCTGTGAATGACTTAGCTATTCTCAGTAATACAATGATCCAAGACAATTCCAAAGGACTTATGATGAAAAATGTTATCCACCTCCAGAGAAATGCCTGATGGAGTCTGAATACCGATAGAAGAAAACTTTTTTTAACTTTATTTTTATGAGTGGTTTTTTTTGGGGGGAGGGGGTTTCTATCACAATACGACTAATGTGGAAGTATGTTTCACATGACTACATATATATAAACTATATCAAATTGCTTGCCTTTTCAGTGAGGAAGGAGAGAGAGAAGTTAGAGGTCAAAGTTTTTTAAAAAATGAATGTTAAACATTATTTTTACATGTAAGTGGGGAAAAATAAAATATTTTTAAAAGTTGCAAAAAAAGGAAGGGGTTGGATTTGAAATGCTATGAAGTCCTGGTCAACTCTGACCCATTATGTGATTCTGCAGTTCTCTAAAATGGTTTATACATTTGTCACACTTTCTGCTCTAGAAATAGGAGAGAAGCAAGTAAACTTATAACAGTAGCTAGACGGATTAGCAGTCAGAGGATTTGGTTAATTGATTCCCTAAACTATTCAATTTAAACCTAAGAAACCAACCATCTCTTCCAGTTTGCCTTGGCTAATAGAAATGCTGGGAAACAACACACAGTCCCTTTGGTTTGGAACCATACAAACAAACTCCTCTTTTCTAGCCTTACCATTCTTTCTGGGTGCAGCCTTGGCTGAAACACCCTAGAAGGTTTTGAGCACACTCTCAAGTCATCTCTGTTGGCCCTTGTGCATGGTAATTCTGAAGCCTTGCTGATTCACTTCCTGAGAGCCTGTTCACTTTTTAGTACAGTGTTTCTGTTTCAATCTTCAAAATAATTCCAAGGCAGCTGGTAGCAAAGAGTGAGTCCTTGGCATAAATTACCATTCTGGTATTGATTCACACAGGAACATGGGATCCATGCCCAAGGACAACTGCCAATGAGCAGCACTTTGGTTGCATGGGAAGCCCTCCTTAGTCATTGTTGAAACCTAAACACATGGGTGCCTATGGCATCCCCATAACTGTAAGAATGGTAAGTGGTAGCAATATCTATATGGTCCTCAATGAGCAGTCAGGACCAAGGACAGGGATGGCTTTGAATTGACCCAACCCTAAGCCCAGGGGGCTAATTATAAGTAGGTTGAGAATATTGCCACCACATCCAAAGCCTGCCAGGAACCTACCTTGAAATGTTAGTCTGTCACCTGTCATATCCCATGCTTCCTGCCTCTCAGATATCTAGCCAACCTTGAATATCTCTGGCGCATCAAACAATGAAGAAGACATTCGAAGACAGACTCTGGATCTGTCCTTCACTCCATACCTATGACCTAACAAGTCTGAGTCGAAGCTTTGCCTAAAGGATGCTGTTCTTTCCAGTTGCTTTTCCATTTACTCCCACTGTGACTTCGGGGCAAGTCATCTCCCCTCTATGTGATTCAGTTTCCTCATCTTTTAAGAACTATCTCAGCTCCCACCTTCCTCAGAAGGTGTTTTCCCAGTCTCACCAGCTGCTGCTACTTTCTCCTCTGAGATTACCTTCTATCTACTCCATATACAATGTCTAGACGGGAAGCTAGATGGTACAGTGGATGGAGTGCTGGACCTAGAGTTTTCTCATCTGTAAGATGGGCTAATAAGAGCACCTATAGGGTTGTTGTAATGATCCAACGTTATAATATATAAAGTGCTTTGCAAATCTTAAAGTGTTATATAAATGTTAGTTTATTATTGTTTTTATTATGTGCCTATTGATTTGCATTTGATGGAAATATCTCTTCATAGCTGGAACACCATTATTAATTCAGAATTTTACCGATGCCCTGGTGTCATTTTGCTTCCAGACATCTTTCATGATGGCAAAACCCTTTCATGTCTAGGGAGAACCTCTGCTTCCCTTTTGGGAAGATGGAGAGCTGAGGGCTGAACTGCCTTTTTAATAGGATCAATGATACCATCTTTGCAGTTCTTTCAAGGCCTCTGTTATAAGTCAAGCAGTGGGGATAAAATGAATAGTGAGATGAAAGGCAAGGGGGAATATCTGATAGCTAGAAAGCCATGGGTTCAAATCCTACCTTTGACACATAGTAGGTATGTGACCTTGGACAAGTCACATAACTTATTAGTACTCTGGGCAACTCTGAAAGATCATATGTTGTAGAGAAGGGATGCCAACCTGCATTGATAAAGGGATTTTCCTCATATGGGAGATTTTTTTTTCAACTGGAAGTTCCTTATGCTAAAGAAATCAGATGTCTAGTCCCTTTCACTCTAAGAGGGAAGAAGCCAATGGAGATCAGGATTATAATACCATAGGTCATAGGACCAAAGCTTTAAAGCCATAAAAGACCTCAAAAGCCATCTAGTTGAACACTCCATTTTTACAGATGAGAACAATGAAGTCCAGAAACCTCCCAAGGTCATATAGCTAGCAAATGTATGTCCTGTTGACATCATTTTTTTCACTGAATTTTTCCATAGAAGATTTGGTTGAAACTTTCTCTGCTTCCACCAGATATTTGTATTGGATATTAACAAAGTTCTAAACTGATGCCACATCGTGGCATGGAGGTGACCCCACAGGCTATTCTAGTAAAGCACCAGCTCTGATAGTTATTTCCAAGAAAGGGTCCAGGGACAGACAAGGTCATAGATCCAAGACCCCAGAGGTCATATCGTTCAGTTTCTTCCCTTAATAGGCAGCTAGGTGGCTCAGCAAATAGAGCGCCAGGCCTGGAGTCAGAAAGACATATCTTTGTGAGTTCAGATCCAACCTGAGATACTTACTAGCTGCGAGACCCTGGGCAAGTCCCTTAACCCTGTTTGCCTCAGTTTTTCATCTATAAAATGAGTTAGAGAAGGAAATGGCAAACCACTCCAACATCTTTGCCAAGAAAACCCCAAATGGGGTCACAAAGAGTTGGACACAGCTGAACAACAAAGCTTTAGGTCACTCTGTGAGACTCTAAGTGGAAAAGAAAGTGCCAGACTGCATTGGCAGAAACAGTTTCCTCACCTGAAGTTCCCTCTACCAGTCAAACCACAGGATTAGTCCCTACCTCTATAATAATACATAACATTTACATAGCCCTTTAAGATATGTAGAACACTCCACATATACACGATAACCCTGTGAAGGAGGTGCTGTCAATAGTCCCCATTTTACAGATCGGGGAAACTGAGGTGCTTAGGCCAGTGGCAGTGTCAAGGGTGAGACTTGAGCTCTGCTGCACTAGCAGACCCAGCAGTCTTTCCACTGCACTGTCACCCAAGGACCACTCCTAGCTAAGGTCTGAGAGGCTCGTCGCTGGGTTGGCTGAAGAGTGGAGGATGTTTTTCATCCTTTGGAAACTCCTGAATACCATTTACAAAGTCATAGAGGGTCTGTGATCTTCATCGGGTAGGAAGAAAACCTGCACCAGAGATCCATGAAGAATTGATATATCGATTAAGAGGATTAAAAGGCAGCGTTTGTATGCTTGTTTTTACCATGGGAAAAAATCAGTGTGCATTTCAGCTTTCAATTGCATTTTACAAGCACTTTGGGCACCCAGCATGAACTTCCCAGAAACATCCCCTAGAGCAAACAGAGTGAAACATAGCCTCCAATCAACTTTAAAAGAAAAATTCTTTTGAAAAAAGGAGGGCTACAGTCTTCTTGCTAATTAGTTGCTAAGCTTAGTTTTGTTTCTAGGTGGATCATCAATTTACCTGGAAGGAACCTCAAAGGCCATTCAGTCCAACCATCCCCTTTTACAGATGTGGAAACTGAGGTTCAGTGGAGGTGACTTGACTTAGGATTGTAGGATCACATACCTAGAAATAGGGACCATCTAATCCAGCTCCCTCGTTTTGACAGATGAAGGAACTAGAAAGTTAAATAGCTTGCCCCCGATCACGTGATGATCATCAGTGATGATGATGAAGATGATGAAGGAGTATAAGTGTCACCTGAGCCTTCTAAACTTCAGGGTCCTTGGCCGGGTCCTAGTTAGAGCCCTTCTGTCAAGTAGACAGCTCAAAAAACATTTATTAAGTTATTATTTGCCATGCAAAATGCTGGGGATACTTAGCAAAGGAAAACCAAAAAATAAAATCTCAGCTCTCAAGAAGCTCAAAAGGGGGAGAGAAAACATCCAAATAAATATGTACAAATAAGATGTGTATACCATTTCCAATTTATCATATATGTGTGTACAGTATATACTGTTTATATATATGGTATATTCAGTATATATGATAAATTGGAAATAATCTAAAGAGTGATATATATGCACACACAAGGTATATATGCAGTATATATACAATATATATGATATGTAGATACTGTATACATCCTTCTGATTATTTTCAGTTTATATATGATAAACTGAAAATAATCAACAGAGGGATGTATACAGTATCTACATATACAGCATACATAAAGTATATATATGGTATATTTAATAAATTGTAAATAATTGATGATGCATACACAGTATATGTGCAATAAATGTACAGTCCATATATGTATGTCTATATGATTAATAAGAAATAATCAACAGAGAGATATATACAGTATGTTCATATATAGTATACATGAAATATGTATATAATAGATATGATAAATGGAAAATAATCAAAAGAGGGATATGCACACAATAATATATGTATATAGAGTGTATATATAATGCATAGCATATATTTAATAAATTGGAAATAATTAACAGAGGGAAGGCACTAGCATTAAGGAAGATCAAGAAAGGCTT